ATGCTTCCTGCTCAATCAGGTTGCAGAGTTAAACGAGTGCTAAAACTATCCAAAACTGAAATTTTATTGTGCTTAACATGAAACACAGGCGCTTTAAATTCGGATTTGAAATATTTGGGTCGTGCTTCGTGAAATTTCAGCTTCCTAATATGAGTGATTCGTGAAATCGCTCTTCGTTACTCTCATCTCTGATGCATTTAAACGCCCAGCACAGACTTAGCCAAGGCTCATTTTTTGCTTACATACACGTGTATGAAGAACAAATATTCTTACAAAGTCAGGACGCTCTGTTGTGCCCAGTTCCTGAGCCGACATTTTGTCAACAGTGTCACAATCTTAACTTTCAATTATCCGTAAGTATGGCGTCTGCGTGCGTGGTAGAGGAATTTGAAGTCATTAACTTACATAAGGGCAAAGAACATCCTTGCAAAATTTCAGATTTCTGTCTTGCCTTGTTCCTGAAACTCTCTGCTGCCAAATCCTTTCACACGCATCCCTGTGTGAAATCTAAGCATAGGCGAACATGGATTTTAGAGTGGAAAATCACACACAAAATGAAGACATGCTCCAGAAATTTCACCTTCCTAACTTGCCTCCTAGCTGAAGTTGAAGACCCAGGCTGAAATGCGCCAGTCTTGCCGGTGCAATCATCCGAATTTTTGCACTAAACTAGCAGATCGCTAATAGAAGTATGATCCTAACGCTGTAGCTTAACACTTAGGCTCTCTTAGGCCCGCGCATTGGCCTCTTCCGGCATGCAGAAGGAAGGGCGTTAGTTCGGATGAATATGGTGCATTATAGAGCCGCACGGACATCCAGGTGCATGATTGCCGGTTTTTTGCATGAAGTCCGGTCGTTTTTCTGGTAAATGCTCGCTTTTGTGAAAAAATGACAAATGCAAAATTATTGGAAAAATACAAATTTCCAGTTCAGTGAAAAGTGGAAGTGTTGCTTGTCAAAAAATCCAAGCATGCAAATGAATTGAATATTCATTTACATATTTGGATGAGGACGGTTGTCGCTGCAAAAGACACTCGTTTCTGATTTTCCAGTAAAGTTGAGTATTTCTCGTAATCGCCTGCATGGAATTTCACTTTCAAGAACAGCTAAGACCGCACTTATAAGTAGAATACCGCAGCGAAGTTTCAGCCTCGCACCTTATCCGGTAAGCGAAATAGCCACTTCGCTACATATATTTTTGAAGTGCTCTAAGTCGTGGCGCAAATACAATTTGGAAATCAATTCAGGTATACGATTTCCTATATGAGCGATAAACGGCCTAACAAAATTTCAGCCACTTTTTTCTAGCAAGTTTTCGAGTTAGCACAGTGCCGAATTGCAAACTTTGACATGACCGTATGCGCTGCACAAGCGCAGCGCTTACGCTCACAGCTGAATTTGGAACCTTTAGCTCGCACATGCACAGAGAATGTTTCTGCAAAGTTTCAGCTTTGCACTTTGCTTGGATTCGCGAAATCATTTCCCGCAAAAGAAATTTCCATATTTTTTCGGGGTCCGTACGCGGGCCTAGGCCCGTATGAGCGAAAATTTTAAGACGAGAGGATGACAGACAGGGTAGGAATATATACCCAAAATTCCATCCTCCCAGCTTTCCAGGTTGCTGAAACGAAAGTGGGTGACAAAGTTCACTAGACTGTTGAGAGGTCGTCTGTGTGTGTGTGTGTGTGTGTGTGTGTGTGAACACAAACACACAGACAACCTCTCAACAATATGCGTTTTTGCTGGCTGTAGCATCGCTGCAGCGCACCACAAAAAAAGCGCATAAAAATCCAAAGGCACAACACAGACAGAGAGAGAAAGAGTGAGAGAGGAACCCCTTGGTAACATTAGATTTTGCACTTGCACAAATATGCAACCTAGGCTGGAACGCACCAAGCCCACCGGTGCGATCATGCATTTTTGCACCAACCTTGAACTAATTCGGTTAACTGCATAAATGGTTGTTTCTTCACACCTATCTTGTGCGCTCAATACAGTAAATCATCGTAAATTTTGTATAAACGGAAGTGAAAAATTTCCGTTTAGCGGTCGTTCTTTTTGAAAATGACCCGGCTAAACAATGAGAAATTTTTCCACAAAAAATTTAAGTGCCCCGCACAGGAGAATCACGCCTACGTAGAGGCTGAATTTGAACATTTTAAGTTGTATTTGGACGGTTAATATTTTTTTAAAATCTCAGCTTTCCAGCTTTTCTGGTCTCTGAGTTAACAATTTTCCTGTCAAAACTTTCACGGGCCCGCGCATGAGCTAGGGCATACCTGGGGGCTGGGTTTGAAATCTTTAAGTTGTATATGGGCTGGGAATATCCCCTGAAAATTCCAGCTTCACAGCTTTTCTCTTTCCTGAGTTAGCAATTCTTCCCGCCAAAAACTTTCACGGAGTCGTACGTTAGAACCGCGCCTGCCTGGGGAACGAATTTGACAACTTTGAGTTGTACACGAGTGAGGAACATTCCCTCAAAATTTTATCTTTCCGGCATTGCTAGTTCCCGAGTTAGGCATTCTCCCGCCAAAAAATTTCACAAGACCGCACGTCATAACCATGTATGCCTGGGGGCCCTCCCCTCTCTCTTACATGGCCTAAGCAGCAGCCAAAGGATCTACGTTGCGTAGCCCCAACCTGCTCCCCAGCCCCGGATCCCTGTGCGCCAAATCCGCGCACACTCCTCC